TCATCTGTGAATACATGTTCTTTTCATCGACCAAATGCAATGTGTACCCTATCTACTTTATAGGATTTATATAGGTGAAATCATCTTATTTTCATCCACCAACTGCAACATGTACCCTATCTCCTTAATAGTATTTAGATAGGTGAAATCATCTATGAGTACATCATCTTCCCAAAAAAAATAAAAAAGTGATGACAACAAGTTTTAACCTATAAAAATTGCATTTATACACCACTACAATCATTTATTTGACAATACACACAATTTTTCTAAATATCATTAGTAAATCGACCTTTTTTTATATAAACTTTTTCACATTTCATGCTAGAAAAAATTACAAAAAATAAAAATAAAACTTTTTAAAATCAAACAAATTCAGACTTTAAAAATATAATTATATACAATTAAATATGTATTTTTAATTATATCGTAAAATTGATAAGTATATATGATATGTCGACCATGGAGAATCTTCATAGAATGACTTTAATAAAAAAAATGCATCAAAAGTGGAGCTTTTTCCACTTGAACCAATAGGTCGTTAGTCCAATCATTATCCTAATACAATACAAATACATTCACAAGCAAAGTTGTTGAGGTCTCGTCACTAAGAAACAAGTACTCAAATTTTAACCAAAATTCACGAGAACCTTAACAATACGGTATAGAAATCATATCTCATATTATAAATCATTCTTCCTTTTTAATCATTGAATGTGACATCAAAGGATTGGATTCCCATTGAGAAAAGAGAGCAAATACCAATATCACACATGTTGGTAGTCTCTTCGGTAGTCCAATTAAAAAGAAACAAAGAAAACCTTAGTGATCTTCATAATCTACGAATACAAAGTCTTCAATTTCAGAAGGAAGACTGATATAACTGTAATCTTAATGGAATGCAAGGTTGATGTTCCTTATCATAATTGTTGTAGAAGAAATTAATCGTACATACATATTGAATTCTCTTTTTTGGTAAATACATGATGAATTCATCAATTTTTGAACTTTCTGTTTGTTTTTTATGTGCTAGTCATTGGTACCCTAAGTCATTCATTATACCCAAACATTAATTAGTCCTATATGGATTTGGACATGAGGAGCCAAACCTCTGTCAAACAAACCTTCGCAAGATAGACCTCTGCTGGACAAACCTTCACTGAAAAAACTTCCTTTGACTTAGCTATAAAGGGAGAGAATTCTGCAAAGAATAGAAGACCAAGTTTAATTGAATTAGGAGACATTATCACACTTAAATTCTATTGTAATATATTATAAATACTTTTGTAGAAACCTAGGAAAGGCATCTTGTTTCTCATTCAACTATTGTAACTCTCTTTCATCAATAAAGTTCTCAGTTCCCTCTAATTTTTGGTGTTGACATCATTGGATTCCCCAATACTCAAGATTAATGAACTTTCAATCTCCATTGACTTGACTTGTATGTAACAGGACAAGCGTTATTCATCAGCTTGTGTCAACTTTAGTGCTGGCTCAACTTGATTTATGCACTAACTGCCACCAACAATCTCTTGGGTGGAACAAGACAAAACCAATGCAACACACGGACAACAATGACTACCAAACTTGATGGAATTCTTTGTAGAATTCTATTGACAAAGTGATCATAGAATTCTACAAAGAATAGAAGACTAAGTTTAAATGAATTAGGAGACCTTATCATACTTAAACTCTATTGTAATATATTATAAATACTTTTGTAAAAACCTAGGAAAGGCATCTTCTTTCTCATTCAACTATTGTAACTCTCTTTCATCAATAAAGTTCTTGGTTCCCTCTATATTTTAGTGTTAACATCATTGGATTCCTCAATATTCAAGATTAATGAACTTTCACTCTCCATTGACTCGACTTGTATGTAACAGGACAAGTGTTATTTGTCAACTTGAGTACTGGCTAAACTTGATTTCTGCACTAACTCCCACCAACAGTCTCTTGGGTGGGACAAGAAAAAACCAATGCAAGACACATCCAACAATGACTACCAAACTCAATAGAATTCTACAAAGAATAGAAGACCAAGTTTAATTGAATTAAGAGACAACTTTGTTTTATTTTCCAAATCTACTTACACTATGTTTAGATAAAAATAAGTAAAGGAAAGTGAAGGAAAGGGGTGAAAAGTAACAAGAGGGAAAGGAAAAAAGAGTAAAAAATTAGTATTAATTTTGTTTGATTATATTAAAAAGGAGAGGGAGGGAGAGATAATGTTTTTTTATTTAATTAAATAAATTAAAAAAATAATTATAAAATTAATTAAAATTTTATAAATTTATATATTAAGATTAAAGTTAAAATATAAATTTTAATTACATTTTTAAAAAAAATAAAAAAATAAATTCAATCCTTCTAAATCCCCTCAAATTAGAAGGATTAAAAATAAGATATTTGAAGGTGCTTAACACTATTAGTCCTTTTTGTTTGTGAGTGATTATTGACAAAGTTTTTAGCTAAATTTATTCGATTGAACTATTGGTTGATATTTGAAAATTTTTGAGTATTGAGGTGATGAGGCTTAGAAGAGTGTAGTCTTTTTTTTTTTTTCTTTTTTGCGTTGCACACCACTTATTGGATAAGTTGGCTCACTGTGGTTATGATGTTTTGATACAGTACTTCAAACAGAGGGAGAGAAATAGAGGTCATGACATGGGCAGTTAAAATTGTCTACTAAGTGTTTGTAAAAATGTCTTAATAGGAAGAACTAAGATTAATTTAATTTCAAATTTATAGTAATTTAATTTATCCAAATTGTGTATTTTAATAAGTACTTAAAATACATGTATTTTAAATACACTCATCAAATTCAAATTTAAATTCGCAAATACTACCATATACTTTTATTTAATATAAACAAATAGTGTAGTTAAATTTAGAGTCCCACATTCAAATACACGTTAATTAAACCCAACGTTCCCAAACATAGCTAAGAAATTTCATCCGCCATCAAATCATTCTAGCTTGATGCCACTAATTTGAAATTGCAATGAAATGAAATTTCATCCGACATAAACCGTGTCAAGACCACAATTCCTTGACAAGTGCTGAACGGACAAAGACACGGAAGAAGTGCCACTGCTGAAACTGTAATGACGATGAAGATCTTAATCAGATAACTCATCATGGCGCACCGAAACCAGATGGGTCTGTGAATCAGATATCGTGGAAACCATGAACAAAATTAACGTGTCATAAAACGGTTAGGTGCACCATAAAGCTCTTGGGCCCTTGGCCAATGGCCACGTTAAGCTCTCTTTCTTTATGGTTCGCCCCGAGAACCATGAGGAAACATTACAGACAAAATTGAAGCAGCATAAAAGAATTAGATTAAAAAAATAATAATAATAGTAATAATAAAGGAGTTGTTATGAATTAATTTCTGAATTAATTTATATTGAATGTTTTACCTTTCTCATTTTTATCTTTTTACTTTTTATACCATTTATATATTAAATAATGGTGTAACTTTTTTTACTTTTATATAATTATAATAGTGATTAATATCCTCTAATGCCATACATTTAAATTGTGATAATAAGATTCTTTATAACTCCTCTATTAGTAGATGATTAATTTTTATAACCTTACATTTAATGAGTGTTTAATTCTTATAACTCCTATTACTCATTAACCCTTATATATAGGACTTGTATTCTTACAAATATAAAAAAAAGGTTGAATGAAAACAAAATATATTTTTACATTATCTCATTTTATGTTTATAATTTTTT